TTTTATATTTATATTTTTTTATATTTATATTTTTTATATTTATGTTTTTTTATATTTATTTTTTGTATATTTATTTTTTTGTATATATATATATTTTTTTTGTATTTATATTTAATATTTATATTTATATTTTTTTATGTTTATTTTTTTATATTTATATTTTTTTATATTTATATTTTTTATATTTATGTTTTTTTATATCTATTTTTTGTATATTTATTTTTTTTGTATATTTATATTTTTTTTGTATTTATATTTTTTTATAATTGCATATATTTTTTTATATTTATATTTTTATACATCTAAAAGAAATTATATGCTCTTAATAGTAAAGATATCTGCCTTTATAATGCTCTAAATAGTCTTTAAATGTTTAACCTTTTCATAGGAAAACGTAATTCTGACATCAATTTATTTTAAAGATTTCGCAGTTCAATTCAAAAGTAAATAAATTTGAATACCCAAACTCAAGATCTATCCTCTATATTATTCTCTCGTAATGCTTAATCAGGACAAATCACATAAATGTCAATATTTGCTATCAATTCGAACAGAGTTCACCAAGTTTTTGCTAAGTCTAAGAAAAGCCTTTTAGGTAAAAGAGAAACATAATTTCAATATGGAGAAAATGAATTCCTGCCAATATAACAAAATATGTATTTAAACTGCAAACATATACGAAACATATAATTATTGTTATCCATTACAAAATGCTATCCTAAGGGCGTCAAATACTATTTGTAGCCACGGTGCACACGAAAGGCGTTTTATGAGGGCTTGGCTTGCGTTTTCGTTCAGTTTTTACTCAAGTAGCATTGCATGACTGCATGCGAGCAGCGCTAAGAAGCGGCAGGCAATGTCCTTTGTGTGTGGCAGCTGCTGCTATTCCTTGGCGTGCCGCTGCTGTTGCGGCTGTCATTGCTATTTAGAAGTTAAATGGCCTGCCTTGAATGCCATTTCATTCCAGCACTCTTACAACATTCCCACGGCGGGTCGCACTTCCACAATCCATATTTCCAGTATTGGGCAACCCAATTAGACAAATGAGCAAGCAGGCAATGCCAGCGAAAGCAACACAAAATACTACTTAGTGCATACAATTTGCATGCATGCATGCATGTATGGGTGTGTATGTGTGTGTGTGTATGTGTGTATGCATATGGCAACGAATCTGGGCATCGCACTTGCCTTAAGGCAGACCGAGAGAGGAAGAGGAAGAGGGCGAGGTCGAGGGCGAGAGCATTTCAATGTGCGATGCACTTGTTGAGGTTGCTTGGCTTACCATTCCCTCAATTAGGGACTAATGAAGATTTGCGCATTAAAACGTTTAAGCTCTGACCTGATTAAATATTTAATTAGCTCACATTGAATATTATGGCGCTGCTTAATGAGCTTCGTATGCCTTCTGGCCGCACCGCAGGTCGTATACGTGATATTTGACAAACATTTCGCTGACACATAAATTGGAAACACAGCTAAAGCAACGGCAACAGCAACAGCATCAGCCAAATTGCCAGCCAAATGCATTTTTAATTCAAGGTGGGCGTGGCACGGCAGGCATTTCGTTCGCCTCTCGCGCTTTTTAAACGCTGTAAAAACGCTGTAAAACGCTGGCAACAGCAATCGCAGCCCTTGCAGTCGACCAATTTGTGCAAATTGAGTCATGCAATTAGTTGGCAGTCCCAGCCTCAGCTGTTGACCATGGCCAAGAGCTAAAAGAGACCATTTTGCCTTTTTTTTGCTTTTGTTTTTTTTATGGAAAGCTGAAATTCCACTCAACGTTTGCCTTAACTGAAGGAATACAATTGTTTCGATGGTAGAAAAGATATTTATACATGAAGAATATTATACAGAAAATATATATTGTAAATCAGCATGAATGAAAAGCAGAGCCACAGTTAAATTCATAACAACTGAGCCAAGTTCAATAAATATCCAATCGAAGTTAATTTATTGTGAAATAAAATGCTTTCAAAATGTAAATTGTATATTAATTACTTTTAATTGATTGTAAATGGAACAATATTGCATTTCTCTCATGTATCAAGTTGTTCAATAATTTAAGCTGCTGGCGTTCTAATGAGAACCAGCTGACAAAGTCCCAGGTTTACTTGGGACAATTATTATGCATTTAAAATTGAATATGATATGTAGAAACAGTTGAGCTGCTGCAATGCAAATCTCTCTTTACTTGGGCTCGCTTCACGGTTAGCTGAAATGCGGTCAATATCTTACGAGTACTATTCACAATTGACATAGTTTTCGAGCTTCCACAACTCTCAAGCAAAGCGAAATACTGCAAAAGTTTGCACATATTCTTAATTAAAGCAATTGCAACTTTTTTTGCAGTGTATCCATAGAGCTGTGCAGCCCTCATCTAAATGGATTCGATTTTCTGTGCCCCCATTAGTCAGATGTGTGTCGTTTGACTTGACTGCTGTATTTGCTGAATGGCATTGATGAATTATATATTTGATTGGGGTTGGGGCAGGCTGCATGCTATTTAAATTGCAAGAGTGCTTAAAGTGCGACAAATGCTACTCAAATGTTTATTTTATGTTGATGAACTTGATGGCAAATGATGATATGTGCGTGTGTGTGTGTGTGTGTGTGCCAAAAGGGAAATTACCGCAGCAAATTAGAGAAAAATATTCGACAGGATTAAGCTGTCAAAGCCATTTCCGTCGCTCCTCTGACCTATTTGCCCATCTTATCGTCGCTATCTGCCGGATTTATCCGTTCCAACTAGCAAACAGCTATGACGTCGGAAATGGCTCTGCTGTGCGCAATTTGATAATGCTTCGCTGTGTGTGTGTGTGTGTGTGTGTGTGTGTGTGTGTATGTAGTCAGTCAAAAACGAGTGCAATGGAAATCGCATGGAAAAACACAGGAAAAAAGAAAATAGAAAATTCTCTTCTTTTTTTTTGCATTTTGAGCTCTCAACATCGAAGCGCTATTGCATTTTATCCTGGCCATGGAGGTCAAACTATTCACTTGAGTAGGCGAGAAGTGCGATCGAGTTTTTTTTTTCCTCCGCTTAAGGATGTCTTAAACTTTTCATAGAACTTAAGCTTGCTCCACTTTGCAAACTGCACAAATTGTCATCCGAGCTGCTGAGAGTGAACAGAGCTCACTGCAGTTGCAGCCAACTCAATTTGCCTTGAGGACATCAATATATCATATATCATATATCGGGTCTGCCATAGAACATGCTCTCTTTGAATATCGACCTTCACTGCTAGATGGAAATTATTAATATTAGTTATGGGCACTTTGTCTAAGAAATGCATTTAATTTAGTAAATAATTTATGCAAGAATAATAATATAATATCAATATTAATATGCATAAAATATCAATAATAATAATAATAATAATAATAATAATAATAATAATAATAATAATAATAATATACATTTTTCGCATTTATTATTTGAACAAATTCATCGAGTTTTTGATACATTATTATTGATTATTACCATTAATTGCTGCATAATTATTTATATTAAATGAAACAAAACGAATCATAATGTCTTTCATAAGCCTATATATAAATAATAAAGATGTATTTTTTGTATAGTATATATTAAAACAAACAAAAAAATATAAAATAAAATAAATAATAAACAATTTTATTATTATTTATTTTAAATTTATAAGTTAATTAAATAAGAAAATAAAATTTAAAAAAATCCTTCATTGATTTTTTCATATATGTTTATATATAGTTTCATTATTTTATTATTATTCGCATGATCTATCCATCTTTTATTGACACAGATTGACAATTGATATTCAACTTCATAGTTAATTAAATTAATTCGATTTAAGTCTCGTGCATATTCAAGCTATCGCACTTGTCACTGCAATTAAATGGATCCGCAAGCAATGCTCACTCAATTCATCTGCATGCAAAGTGCTCATTAATATCATTTCGGCTGCAAGCCAATTGCCTGATAGCAACTAGCAACTGCGGTACCAACAACAGCAACAGCAACCGCAACAACAACAACAACACCTGCTTTCGTCTTAATCTCGCTCCCAGCTGTGCCAAGTGCTACGTGATAAAATAGGTGCTGCATACGCCAAGGCGCGCGCATAACTCGATTACGGCTTTGATTTATGGCACGCAATAATAATCAGCATTGCATGTTGCCATCGGGTCACTCACACTAACACACACACACACACACACACCCACACAAACATAGACAAATATTCAAGAAGTGAGCTGCTAGCAAGGGCTCTGTTTACTTTTTGTACTTGTTTCCCAAGAATAACAAACAAGGCGTATACTTAATGTGTACATAGACTATGCGCCTCTGTATATACACATTTGTATATATATGTATATATATATATATATATAAGTTCGTTTACTGATAGCTAGTTGGTTAGCCCGGCGGCAGCTGCAACTCAACAACAACAAGTTGCACTTCCGTCAGCTGAAAGTTGGCCTTTGGAGGCAGACGGGAAGAGCCAGCCGCAACTAGCGCTCATGATGAGCTTGCGTCCTTGGTGGGGCATCCGCTGTGCACTTGGCTGGCTGCCTGGCTGCCTGGCTGCCTGGCCCCATGATTTATGTAATGTTTTATTCTGGCCCATTGCTCATGTTACTTTTCTGGCTCTTTTCAGCGATGCTTGCCTCATTAGCGACTTAGCACCCGAAATTCCCCCAGCTGCAGTAAGGTAACGCCAGAGGAAGCCGAAACTAAAACCAAAAACCCAAACCACAGCCAAAAGCAAGGGCAAACGAATAGACCGCTCTGCAAGGATATGCATAAAATGGCTCAGCAGCCAGCGAATTCAGTTAATGAGTTGGCTTTTATGGGCGTATAAAAAGCAAAATTGATATTATGCGGAGGCTGGGCCTATAAATAAACACAACAAATTAAAATTAATAAGCAACAGAGCTTGAATTGCATAGCAACAGCAGCAGCAGCAGAGGCAGAGGCAGCAGAAGCAGCGCCAGCATTCGCATTCGCATTAACATTAACATTTAGATTAATAACCATGGCATCTCCGCCGGAAAGTCCCATCGAGGAGGTGGTCTATGAGTTAGAACACACACGCGTGCCTAAGCCCATTCCGGTCGCTCTCGAGGACTTGTGCCGTCAGACCAAGTTCACCAAGCAGGAGATTCGCGTCATGTACAGAGGATTTAAGACGGTAAGTGGACACGCGCAGCATACCGGCTCCCGGGTAGAGTACAGCGCAATCCAAATGGTCGCATTTGCTGTCATTCGCAAATTCATAAACAATCGCATTTGATCCAAGTAAATGCCATGAACTTTGCGCTCTCATATTTATACGAATATTAATATCTAAGCAGTCAAATCTATGAGCGCAGCGCAGCGAAGGACACGCAGTGAATGGTTAGCGGGTGAAAGGAACTGAAAAGGGCGGATACAGAAAGAAAGAGAGAGAGAGAGAGAAAGCGAGGGAGTTGCAGACAAGCAAGGCAGGGCAGATAGGAATAGAGAGAGAGAGAGAGAGAGACAGTCACAGACAAGGCTAGATGGAGAAAACCACAAAGGAGGAACATAGAGTGCCACATAGTGTAAGCGAGACAGCTAGAAAGAGAGAGAGAGAGAGATAAAGTTAGAGGGAGAGAATCAGCGAGTGAGTTTGAAACAGAGCCAGACAGAGAAAATACAGAAATTGTGTAAAATAGTGAGCGAGGTAAATATAAGAGAGAGAAAGATTGATAGGGTGAGGGAATAAGAGATTGTGAGAGTGAGAGAGAGAGTGAAGGTAAGAGAGAATGAGTGAATTAGTCTCAGAGAGAAAAACATAGAGGCAGACAGCTGAAGTGGGAAGAGCAATAAGAACTCATAATTCGAGAGCACATATACTTACATATGTTATATACTTTACATCAGTTCGTATGTCTCTCTGTCTGTCTGTCTCCCCGTCTGTCTTTGTGTATGCCTGCAAGGGCAGAAGAAGAACCACAGCAGATCATTTCAGTTATCTGTATGTATGCATTTGGGAGAATGCTTGCAGCTGCAGAGTGTGCTTCCATGGGTCACCTACGGCTGAGCATTTGAGCGCAACTTAGTCTTTGGGTGATAGTGGCCCTATATAAAGGGCAGCAGCCACAGCATTTCTTCAGTCGCCCAGGGCCGTTGGGGTCGCTCGTATAGTGCAGTAAAGTTAAGTGAAGTGCGCGATCGTTCAGCTAAGCATTCAAGACGGGGGAAATACTTCGAGGAAATAATTTGAGGAAATATTTTGAGGAAATATTTTGAGGAAATACTTCGGGGAAATACTTCAAGGAAATTCTTCGAGGAAATACTTTGGGGAAATACTATGAGGAAATATTTCGAGGAAATACTTCGAGGAAATTCTTTGGGGAAATACTTAGACGCAATGCTTAAAGGTAACAAATAAAAGTAACACTTAGAAGAAACGCTTACAGGACATGTACAGAGCACATACATACATATTCGCATAAAAAGAGAATGTGATAAATACAATAAGCTTAACAAAAATTGCATTACTCAAAATATATTTATTCAGTGCAAGAGAAACGGCTGACAAAAAGCACTCAGATTATGTTTTTATTCAAAAATTGGCAAAATGATTATCATATGAAATGATTGTAATAATGAAAAGCATTTCTTAGTACCGCTCACCAAACTTAGATTTATAGATGGGAGGGAATTGGAATTAGTCAGCCAACCCGTTATATTTGCACTCACATTTTCACAGAGATTTTCCTTTTGCCTTTGCAGGAATGTCCGGAGGGTGTGGTGCACGAGGATTGTTTTAAGGATATTTATGCCAAGTTCTTTCCGCATGGCAGTAAGTATTTGAGCTGAGCGTGTATATATGTATTTCTATAATACAACCGCATTATTATGTGCGTGTGTGTGTGTATGTGTGGGTGGATGCAATGGTTACTTTTATAGCTTTGCGCCACTTAAGCCCCCACATTTCATTTATGTACGCTAGTTTTTTTTTTCGGATTTGCAGTCGCTATTTTGAGCACTCAGTGCGAGCACTAAAACATTTCCAATTTTTCCATTTCCACAGATTCCAGTTTATATGCTCATTATGTGTTCAAAGCCTTCGACGTTAACTGCAACGGCGCCATTAGTTTTCGGGTAGTTATAATCATTATTAGAGACATTTCATAACTCAATCAACATTTCTATATACTTATATTGTCGCATTTCTCTATAGGATTTATTGGTCACTTTGTCCACGCTGTTACGCGGCTCCGTTTATGAGCGTCTGCGCTGGACCTTCAAGTTATACGACCTCAATGGCGATGGCCGCATAAGTCGCGGGGAGCTGAGTGAAATCGTTTTGGCCATACACGAGCTCATGGGCAGAAGAGCTCACCAGCCCGAGGACGATCGCAAGGCCAGAGATCAGGTGAGCCAGAGAAACGATGGAGTGTACGAGTAAAAAATCAAGTATTTGTAAGAAATAAAATTTTGATTTGTATATGATATATGATAATGCATTGCTCTTCGATAAACAGTTAGGCATAGATCTCCGTAGTTCTTAGAGTGGCGCATATATTGCTGATCTCATTTAGTAGCTATATGAAAAAGGTTGCGTTGTTCCATGCTAACTGAAATAGACACCCAAATATATTGGGTTTATGTCTCTAGTCCTATTGCAACAATTTTTTAAATACATGAGGCAAAAGTTTATATTTCCTATAGTCTGTATCCAATGTATGTAGTATCCAATGTTTCTAAGAACACATTGATTTTATTTTTACGATAAACAATAATTATAAATCCATGTGAAAGTTCTAATATATGTAAAAATATATAATACTTTTTTTTCTAAATATTAAATCTAATCTATATATATTTTGTATTTTTTCATTTATGTAATTCTTGTAACTATACTTTCAAATTGATTAGAGTAGAGTAGAATAGGAGAACTCTCTGTCTAGGTCATCTATCCTCCACTAGTGAAAATTCAATTATAGTTTGATAAGATTACGCACAGGCCACATACGGACAGACAGCAAAATATGTGCATATTTCATGGTCGTTGCCACGCCTCCTACTGTCCGTTAATTTGATTTTCACAAAAACATTACAGTTGAAATTCGCATGAATTCACATGAAAATGTATATTATTTCGTGGAACATATTTGCAATTTGCAATCTAAGAATATTTCTACACATTTTGATTACAAAATCCAAATCGATTTCAATGCAAATTCGTTGCAAACAAATTATCGCAAAAATGCATATGAATTATGAAATTCTATTGCATTGATGTTGAGTGCAATTCGGCTTATGTTTTATATGTGTGTATGTGTGTGTGTGTGTGTGTGTGCGTGTGGGGTTATCCTTTGTTATGCAGCATTCTTTATGCAACAGCTGCGCTTGAAATGCTCCGCAGACGGGCAGGTGCAGTGGTGCAGTGGTGCAGCGGTGCACAGGGACGCGGCATACGCGGCGTATGAGCAATTACAGTTACGCAAGCAGAGAGAGGACTGGTGGTGCGTCGGGGGAGGGGTGGCCCTGCAGCGCATGGGAAATGGATTGGCAACGCAAAGCACCGGAAATGTTATTTAATGAAAAAGGCTTTGAGTAAATTAATTATGCAGGTGTATGGGACAGTCAGAATGGCTGGCAAAACTTTGGCAAGGGAAATTTAATAAAAATTTGCTATCGAAAACTAGTTAATATGAAATGAATTTGCTATTTTGCAGGTGGATCGAGTTTTTCGCAAATTGGATTTGAATCAGGATGGCATCATAACGATAGAAGAGTTTCTGGAGGCATGCCTGAAGGACGATTTGGTGACGCGCTCATTGCAGATGTTCGACACTGACCTTTGATGACAAGAGGAGCCAGAGATCCGAAACACCAGGACTATAGTACCGCTTATAGATCTATAAATTGTTGTTTCGGATAATACAGTCGACAGGAGACATAGAGCGACAGAGACATACGATGAAGAGAAACAACATATTAGTATTTAATATTATTTCTAGGCAATAATATCGAACGAACAACAAACTTGAACATTTATAAATGTGTGCAAATGACAAAAGAGTTGAATATAAATATTGAATATATATATATATATGTCACTTTTTAAGCATATTATGAATTAAATCCTGCCGTCAGAAGCGAATTGGTATTATACTCTTGATGTACTTATTGAATGTATTTCAAAGTGTTTCAAAGAAAAGCAACTTTACTTCTTAATATTGAATGAACAAACAACTAAACAAAACCACCAACCAAAGTGAATAAAAAAAAACTAAGAACTTGGAAACGGAATTGGTTATATGATAACAAAATAAAATCCAAAACGATTTACTTTACACAAAAACGAAAATAATAATAGAAGAAGAAGAGAAAAGCCTATTGTATAACAGCAATTTATACACACACACAGACACACTCTCAACAATATGCATAAGTAATTGACATAATTACATCCGTTCATAGAGTGTGTCCATTTAAGATACGCACATACATACATACATACACATATTACATACATGAATATCCGTTTGTGCGTGTTTTTTAATTGCTTAGCTCAACTATTGCAATTGCATTTAACTCTGCGTAATTGTTCATTTCCCACTTCGGTATATAACAAAAAAAAAAACAAAAACTTACTCAATTTATTTCATTTTAATTTGATATATATTTTTTCACACGAATGATGAATGAATGCCACTGAATAATTTTTTTCCTGAACTTTACAGTCAATTAAATTATAAATAACAGATTCAACATTCAAATAAGCTGAATTGAGTGACGTTCAGTTTTTATTAAATATTTATTTAACAAATTTAATAATATTTTTGAAATCTATTTTTGCGAATGCAAACCAACCACCGACAACAACAACAACAACAACAACAAATAGCTCTTGACAATTTCAACCGCTGTTATTAAATTATGAAGAGCTCAATGCTCGACATAGGTTTTCAATTAAATTTAATATTCATTCATTTTATTTATTCCACAAGTGCATTATTAATGCATACACCAAAAGCGAGCAATAACAACAAAACCAGAAAAGAAAAAAAACAATATTAGCCTCCAGCCTTGTAGAACATGCAACATGCAACGGCTTGTCGCTTGTGGCATTATTTTTTTTTAGCCTGTGGAAAATGTATAAATAGGGTATATTGTTTGTTTGTGCAGTCAGCCAGAAGGCGTGGCCAATCGCATCAGGTCTATATATTCTGGACTACGCACAACGAGCTGAGTCGAGCTAGGCATACGCGTCTATGCGTTCCAATATCCGTCTATGAATTCATCCAACTCAAGATCTGAAGTCTATAATGTACATTTTAGAATATTATATTGTACAATAGTAGCATATTCTCATTTCATTCATAAGTAATTGCACTTGGTTTTTAGGCATAAATAGAGAGCCATTAATGAGATGTTAAATGGCATATGTGAGTAGTCTACTCTCTGTTCTTCGATACCTCTTAAAATTATTCAAAAATCAAAAATCAATATGAATTCTTAAGAATATTCTGTCTAGACTTTAATTTTGTTAAATAATTATATATAATAATTGCATAAGTTAAGTTATAAGTTTGAATATGTAAATAGTTCATATATCCATTTCCATGATTTTTATTACATTTATACAACTAGAAACAAAACTAATTCATAATATAAATAAAAACAGCAGCTCGTTGTAGGATCCAGGGTATGCCCCAGTCGGTTTTTTCTCATTTAGTTAATAGTTAATGCGCCACGTGTGGCCTACTTTTCAAGTTCTACATTTAAACAATAGGAAACTATAATTTAATCGTTAGCATATCAGCGGCCAGAGATGAGATTGAGATGAGACGGGCTGACTCAATACAATTACCCGAGCTGTTCGAACATTTCGCATTGCCTCAATGCACGACAGCAGCAAAAACAGCAATAAAAGAAGAGAATAACACCTAAACGAACACAAAAGCAGAAAAAAAAACAAGAAAAAATCCAAAACAAAACAATAAAAGTTTATTTTACATTGTACCTTTCACACACAATACAATTGTTGTTTCAGCAAAAGTTTTATATTTATATTCAATACACGTTGCGTTCGTTGAATGCAACTGTGCGTAGAGTCGAGACAATCAATGTGGTTTGATATAATTCCCCTTAGTTATACACACGCTCTTCCATTATGATTCTAAAGCAACAGCTAAGTACTTATGTAGGTCCATTGTATTATTTGTGACATTCTCACAATGCAAAACGTAATATCAAGTCTTGAATTGGCATTTCGATTTTCGTTGATTATCTCATGCTCGTTCACTAAATTAAGGGAGCATATTGATTTTGTGCCATGTCCGTCCGTCTGCTAGAACTTTAGAGCTATACTGTCTTTCAAGTAATTCATCAAATGGATCACAGATCGACATTCAAAGATCAACTCTAAGGTTTTTTAAGTGCGCTTGCCAAAATCAATATCTCTAAACGAATTCGAACTAAAGAGGGCATCTAAGGCAGCGGTTGAATAAAAATGTAATCGACGATGTTTTAGGACAAAATATATTTTTAAATTAGCCTAGCTGAAACTAACCACTTTAAAGGTATATGAAAAAGGGAATTTCTTGAATATATGTACATGACATAGGAATATCTAAAAAACTTGAAGCGATAGAGCTCTTCTGTTTTTGGATTCCCATTCAGCAGGTCCCTTAATCAAAATTATACCCTTAAATTGTATGCCCATTCAGTTCACTAACATCTAACGTATCCCAAATATCATGAAGAGTTTCTATTGTGAACGAATTGAATTATAACAAAGGCAATATTTACAAATACGCATCAATATCAGTGTTACGGAAAAATAAGGAAACTTTAGATAAGAGCTGCCAGTGAATGTCCATAAACTTGAACTTAACCTAACTATGCGACCTATATGATAAACCACCCCGAGATTCAACCTACCTAGTTTTTGCAAGGCAAATGCCCAAGCAAAGGAAACTCAGCTCAGAGTTTAAGGAGAAGTAAAACATATACTAAAATTTAAATGTCTAACTAGTCAAATACTAAAAAATGAAATGGAAACGCTTAAAACTTTATTCATTAAATATATATATATATATATACATATACCTAAATATATATGTTATATATTTAATCAATTGATCAACTTAATGCTAAATCAAACATCATTGTCATTGTTTTTAGCAACTGAATGTTTAGTAAGAATAACTAATTTCTGTAAGTGTCTACTAATCCCAAATCGAACTATCTACAAACATATATGTACTACTTAGTTTGTATATATGGGTGTAGCTAGCTAACCAAGAAAATATCCTTAAAAGTGTTTAGCAACTATTTTTGGCATAATTCAAATTAAACATACAAACGTAAATTTATGTATTTTTTAACTAAATATATTGCATTCGCATTTAGTTGAAACTGAATTAAATCAAAATGTACCTAGTAAATGTAAATTATGATAATAATTTTTCCAGCAGAAGCTATTTAAATTACGATTAATGTGTAAAAAAATTAAAAAGAAAAAGAAAATGAAGTAAGACATGTAATGAATATTCGAGGAAAGTTCATTGAATTCATAGCTCTGCTAAATTACATAAATAAATTCTATTATCTTTAATTTTAACCGAAAGGCGAAGAGGTAACCCTACTCTACTATTAAAGTACTTAACAGCAGCAAACGTGGTTAGTGATTTGAATTGTTCATACATAAGTAAACGCTATAATAGGAGATCCCAAATCACATGGATAATATCTAATAACATACTCTAATTAACTATACTTGAATATTTGTTTAATCGTCTAATACATAAATATGTTTATGCATTCACGCATAATTCATTAATGCTAAATAATTATTCAAGTCAAGTCGAGTCGAATGGAATCGATTCTCTCTTAATATTTGTTGTAAATCTTTTAATTGACATAAGCATATGGAATTTAATGCATGACAACAAAACCAAAGAACACAAAATACCAAAAAATCAATCTACTCTTAAAATAAACAAAAGATAATCTTTCCTTCAGTTATATGAACTCGTTAGAGCTTAAAATAAAAAATCATGTCTATTTGTTAGTCTAGATTGATGTCACATTGTTTGCCAAAACAAAAACAAATCCCATACAAAAATCAACTAGTTTTTAGTTCTCAATTATGAATTATGTTAATCCTTAAACATGATAAGAAGTGAAAATAATAACTCAAAACTGGGCAAAATATAACAATTTTAATAAAAGTAACAATTTAATAATAAACATATGTATGACAGAGTATTTACTTTTCAGACATTCGGAACAGTATTTGAATAACATACTATATTACAATATAGTATTGGCTAAGTTAAAATTCATCTGTCGACAGAATGAATAGATCTGTAACAAGCAAAGTTTGCCATAAACTTTTAACCTTTTTATCTTTTACGCTCAGCTCTCGAGATCATCCCGAAATAGTTATATTCACTCGCTATCGGTCTGAGCAGGAGCCTTTGGCTCTATTCGCTTTTGTTTTCGGTTGAGAACCTTGCTTGGGCCTGTTCCTTGCCTAGTCAACTTACCCAGGATCTTGACCAAATGTATCCCAACCGATTATGGAAACTGGAAGTACGGAATTCAGGTTTTGTTAAATAGATGTTTATTTATTTATGAATTTTCTCCGAGTGTATTATTTCATGTAATGGATTCGGCATTTATGCATTCGACTGGGAATATCTATAAATTATACAAGAGATTGTGTTTGAGTGAGTGTATCTTATCATAACGTTTTTCAGAAAATGTTTCTATTTTTTTTATAATTTAATTGCGGTTGTTGAGCATCTATGTTTCAGAATATATATTTATATTGCTTCATGTGCTGAGTTTTCTTTATTCTTTCCTTTTTCTTTGTATTTTGACTTACAGCAAATTGAAATTTGGGATCAACCAGATGAAATATGTTTATATTAACTACTTTCTTAACTTGCATGATCTTCATTTGGTTATACGAGTGTGTAATGAATATATATGCATTTCATATGCCAGCATTAGAATTAGAATTGTTTGTTGAAATATATTTTGATAGTTTGATTAATGCATTAACTTTTATGTATTTTGATGTATTGATTTTGATTTTAATGATTTATGATCCGTGAATCGGATTCATATGAAGGTTTTATGACACTCATGTTTGTTAAATATGAAGTTTGTTCTTGAATGTTTAATTAAATTTTTATATATATTTGTTTTTTTTTTTTTTGTCATATATATATATGTATATCTATAGATGATTCGCTACATTTCCAACTTTTTTTGTTTTTGTTTGTTGAATTTGTTAAACATGTTTATTATTTGTGAAATGGTTTACTTAGACTACATTTTAAAATTTAACTC